GAAGTCTCAAATAAATGCTGAGATACATGTTAGAGTCATAGAAAGATTCAATATCATGAATATATAAGTTCTCTCTCAATTGATCTATACATTCAATATAATTCCAATAAAAAATAAAATAAAATTCGAGAGTGGAGAAGTTACAAAATGACCTTAAGGACTTCTGGTCAAGAAGGCATGTTGGGATTCAACGCAATCCCCATCAAAATACCAACGGCATACTTCACAGAATTAGAACAATTACTTCAAAAGTTCATATGGAACCAAAAAAGGCCTCGAATAGCCACAGCAATCTTGAAAAGGAAGAACAAAGTTGGAGGGATCACAATACCAGATATCAGGTTATACTACAAAGCCACTATAATCAAAACAGCCTCGTACTGGCACAAGAAAAGGTATATAGAGCAGTGGAACAGAACAGAGAACCCAGAAATGGACCCAAGGCAATATGCTCAATTAATATTTGACAAAGGTGGCAAAAGCATAGAGTGGAGTAAGGACAGCCTCTTTAATAAATGGTGCTGGGAAAATTGGACAGCTACTTGCAGAAAAATGAAACTAGACCATCAACTTACACCCTACACGAGAATAAACTCAAAATGGATAAAAGACTTAAATGTAACTCATGAATCCATAAAAATCCTAGAAGAGACTGTGGGCAACAAAATTTCAGACATCATACGCAGCAGAATTTTTACTGACACATCACCTAAGGCAATAGAAACAAAGGAGAAAATGAACACATGGGACTACATCAAACTCAAAAGCTTCTGCACAGCAAAAGATACAATCATCAAAATGTAAAGGCTACCCACTGTATGGGAGAGCATAATTGCCAATGATACATCAGATAAGGGGTTAATTTCCAAAATATATAGAGTGCTCATACAACTCCACAAAAGGAAGACAAAGAATCCAATTAAAAAATGGGCAGAGGAACTAAATAGACACCTCTCCAAACAGGACATACAAATGGCTAAGAAACATATGAAGAAATGCTCATCATCACTAATCATCAGAGAGATGCAAATTAAAACAACAATGAGGTATCACCTCACACCTGTCAGAATGGCCACCTTCAACAAATCATCAAACAACAAGTGTTGGCGAGGGTGTAGAGAAAAGGGGACTCTAGTGCACTGCTGGTGGGAATGCAGACTGGTGCAGCCACTATGGAAAACAATATGGTGTTACCTCAAAAAATTAAAAATTGATCTTCCATTTGACCCAGTGATCCCACTTCTAGGAATATACCCTAAGAAGCATAAAACACCAATCGAAAGAATATATGTACCCCCATGTTTGCAGCAGCACTATTTACAATCGCTAAGATCTGGAAACAGCCCAAGTGTCCATCAGTAGACGAATGGATAAAAAAGCAGTGGTACAGCCCTGGCCGGTTTGGCTCAGCGGTTAGAGCGTCGGCCTGCGGTCCGGAGAGACCCGGGTTCGGTTCCCGTTAAGGGCACGTACCTCGGTTGCAGTTTGTCCCCGGCCCTGGTTGGTCGTGCGGGTGGCAGCCACTCGATGTGTCCCTTTCACATCGATGTTTCTCTCTCTCTCTCTCCCTCTCTCTCCCTCCCACTCTATCTGAACAAAGAATGAAAAAGTGTCCTCGGGTGAGGATAAAAAACAAAAAAACAAAAACAAAAACAAAAAAAAAGCAGTGGTACATATACACAATGGAGTACTACGCAGCTGTAAGAAAGAAAGATCTCTTATCCTTTAAGACTACATGGAGGGACCTTGAAAGTATCATCCTAAGTGAAACAAGCCAAACAGAGAAAGACAAGTTTCATATGATCTCACTTATTTGTGGAATATAATGAACATAACAGTCTGAGGAATGGGGTAGTCCCAGAGACGCGGAAGCGGAGTACAGACTAACAATCCCCTAAAGAGGGGGGTGGTGGGGGAGAGATAAACCACAGAACTTATATGCATGTATGCATGAACAGTGGACATGGACAACAATCTGGGGAAAGGGCAGGGAGGGAGGGAGAGGGGGGAATCAGTGGGGGGAAAAGGAGAAACATCTGTAACAAAAATTAATTAATAAAATTAAAAAAAAAAAAAAAGAAGGCATGTTGGTTGAGCTGATTGGGGGCCCACTCCATTCCCACCCCTTGCCACCCCAACCTATGCTCTTCTCTGCTAACAAATAAGCTCCACAAAAAAATACAACAAATTATTTTTAAATACATAGCTGGGATGAAAGCAAGAAAGGGAAATCTCCCAGAAACAAAAAAGAAACTCTAAACCTACAATGGTGAGTAGGAATTGAAGACCCAGTAGCGAGCCTTAGGGCCCGAGGAAAATCGGAGGACGCAGTGACTGCTGGGAGGAGAGCACAGATATGCATTATTGAAACATGGTTTTTTAAATTTTTTTAAGACTCAAGATGGAACATCATGAACCAGATATTGTCAAGGAAAGCCTTTTTGATATTATAACCAGAAAAATTAACCAACTTCCAGAAGCAGAAAGGAATCTACTTGAACATGGATCAACACATGTTGGATTTAATGCTGCTCTCAGTGGCCTAAGAGCAGTCTCTTTCGGCGCATCTTATATGTGACACAGGCTCGTATAGCTGCTGCTTTTCCAATGGCAGTGATCCCGTTTTTTGACAGCGGACATATCTTACAGAGGTTTTATACGTTTACCGTTGAATACAGGTGATCTGAATCGTGAAGCCTGTACTATGACACGAGCTGGATTGATGGGACTTGTTTTTGGTGGACTGTACCCTGTTTTCTTGGCTACACCTGTGAGTGGTGGCCTAGCAGCCAGGTATGCCTCAGCCCTGCAACCAGAGAGAGGAAACATCTTAACCTACTGGACCAGAATTTCTAAGCCTATCTTTAGAAAGATGTTATTTCCCATTTTGCTCCAGACTGGGTTTGCAGCATACCTTAGTTCTAGACAATATAACTACTTATAAGGGCTCTTCAATTACCTGAACCTGGCCTAGAAATTCAGTGATTGTTAAGCAAAAGTGTATACAAAAATAAAACTGTAAGAATAAAAAAAAAAAAATGAATAGACTATTCACCTTGGAATATGGAGTTTATACACCATGTAGGGCTGGAAATAAGGACTTACATAAAGTCAGGAGCGAGGCTTGGAGGAGGACAAGTAAAACTCTATCCTCTCAGAGGGGACACAGTACAAAAGCATGCCACTGGACTAGAAATGCAAAAAGAGACACCCACGAGAAATGAGAGACTTAAGTCTGCTCAAGGCTCGGGAAGGAGTCCAAATGTACTCTAACTACACAGGATCGGAAACTGGATCCCAAACTGAAGAAACAGGCAGACCTCAACACATGAGATGGATACATGGAACTCCAATGTTGAACTTCCGGTCAAAGATAACAAGGCACATGCGCAAGCAAACCACCAGGAGAAAGATGAAATTAGCGGGTGATTCAAAAAGAATTTACTCCACCAAACATACAGATAATGGAGGATTCTTAAGAATTTCAATGTTTTTAAGATGTATGACAAGATAAATGATGAAATTTAACACACACATTAAGGCCAAGGCATTATAAAAGAATGAAGAGATTTCAAAAAGAGTCACTTTTGCTTTGTGATATTACCTATGGATAGGTTTAGGCACAAATAGCCTTAGAATGAGAATTTCTTTGGCCTGAGTAAAATGAAGGACAACCATGTTATATATATATATGTTGTTGTTTTGTTTATCCTTACCCGAGGATATTTTTCCACTCATCTTCAGATAGAATGGGAGGGAGGGAGAGAGGGAGAGAGAGAAACATCAATGTGAGAGAGACAAACTGAATGGCTGCCTCCTGCATGACTCTGACCAGGGCCAGGGACAAACCGCAACCCAGGTACATGCCCCTGGCTGGAATAGAACCCACGACTCTTTGTTCTGCAGGCTGACATTCTAACTGCTGAGCCAAACCAGCCACAGGCATGTTATATGTTTTTAAGGAAAACCTGGACACATATACACATGTGGGTGTGTTCATCTTTCTTTTCCAATTTGTTTTCTAAACCTTTGCTTATACAACTTGTATGTATTTGTATGTGGCAGTGCTGAGAGATGTGTGTTTATTTCCAATTAGCCTATTTGTAGGCACCTCAAAGGTGTAATATGTCAAGTTTTCTGTCATTGTAGTTTTTTTTAACAACAATAGAATTAAACATATTGTTAATGAAAAATCAGACCAATTTAATATACTGACTGTATTGTTGTTTAAGAATCTTCTCCTCACCCTGGCTGGTTTGCTCAGTGGTTAGAGCATCAGCCTGTGGACCCAAGGGTTGCAGGTTCAATTCCCAATCAAGTGCATGCACATGGGTTACAGGTTTGATTTCCCCGGCTCTTGTAACTTTACATCGCTCTTACATTGATGATTATTTCTGTCTCGTTCTCTTTCCCTCCTACTCTATCTAAAAATCAATGGAAAAATATCCTTTGGTGAGGATTAACAACAAAAACAAAATGTTCTTCTTGCCTTCTCCTGGCAAAGACTCTTGCTTTCCATGTTATGATGCCAGGCTTGGCCACTGACTTCCAGTTATGAGCAGAGGTTTTAGGAAGCATTGCAAGTCTCAGCCAGCCCTCTTGCACATCATGTGAACCTCACATCCCAGAAAGGGGCTACTCTCCTCCTGTCCAATAAACTTGATTCACCACCTGGAGCAGAGACACTGCACCCAACCCGCAGCCACGGACGTGCAATGTGAGGAAGAAGAGATGCCTAAGACACTGAGGTTTGAAGGTTATTATACTGCACAAGCAAAAGCTAATCAATGCAGCCACTTGAAGAAAGAATTAGTGAAACTAAAGATAAATCTGAAGAAAGCCCAGGACACAATACAGAGAAAGAAATTTAATGGAAAATATATGCAGTTAAGAGACATGAAGACAGAAGAATTTCCGGCATATGCTTGTAATAACTCTGAGAATATAGACTAGAGAAAATGAGGAATGTATTAGTTTTCTATAGTCATGAAATAACGTACCACAAATTTAGTAGCTGCTCTAGGGTCCTAGTCACGTGGTCCTCTAACAACACAGCAGCTTGCCTCTTCAACACCAGCAGGTGACTCTCTCCAGTCTTATACCATGTATTGTTGTCACGGGAGTAACTTATTCCATCATCTTCACAGGCTCTAGCCACACTCAATAGGAAGGAATTTACAGGGGTATATACCACGGGGCAGAATCTTGGGGACGTCTTAGGATTTTGCCTACCACTGGGAAAAAGCACTATTAGAAAATATATCCCCATAGGAAATCATTGCCCTGAAGCTGGTGTATATCATTCTATGCATATTGTTATACTTTTTTAGTGCATTTCTGGAAATGTTACTTGGTAGATGTTTTAGAATAGATAGCATCTGCTGTACAAACTGTTTTGTTCTTGCAACTACCTATAATGTGTTTGTTTTAAAAATCATTTTTATAAAAATTTTGTATCATTTATATAAAGGGAATAGTATTAATATACTGAGTTTCCTCATCCACATCATCTATGGATAACTGTTGAAGCCGAGATGATCTGTATGAAAGCAGATATTGAGTCTAACTTTAATGTATGTTTTTAGTTCTTAAATTTAATTTTTAAAATCAACATAATAATGCATGCACATTGTAAAAAAAAACTTGCACATATTTATATGAGCATATAAATATGTGAAAGTTCTTTCTTTTATGTATTCTCTTTCAATCTCTTACTAATCCTTTTTCAATTGTATGTATTCTGAATATCTTCTAGTTTAAATTTTCTTTTCATTTTCTTTAAGGTGTCTTTTGGTGAATAAAATTTTTAATTTAAAAAAAAAAAAAAAAGAGCCCTGGCCAGTGTGGCTCAGTTGGTTGAGGGTCATCTCATGCACCGAAAGGTCGGTTTGGTGGTTCCGTTCCTGGTGAGGGCATATGTCCATGTTGTGGGCTCGACCTCCAGTCAGAGTGCGTACAGGAAGCAACAGATCAATGTTTCTCTCTCTCCCTCTCCCTTCCTCTCTCTCTAAAAATCAATGAAAACATATTCTTTAAACAAAGAAAGATAATATGCCCCAGGTCATACCCCTTCTATAGCTTTGGCTCTCACCACTAATCTCAAGAAGTCCACATAGTATTTTTACACTTTTTTTTTTAATCCTCACCCAAAGACATTTTTGCATTTATCTTCAGATAGAGTAGAAGGGAGGGAGGGGGGATGAGAGAAAGAAACATCGATGTGAGAGAGACACATCAAGTGATTGCCACCCACATGACCCCAACCAGGGCCAGGGACAAACTGCAACCGAGGTACATGCTCTTAGTGGGAACCAAACCCGGGACTCTCTGGTCTGCAGGCCAACGCTCTAACCGCTGAGCCAAACCAGCCAGGGCAAACCACATGGTATTTTTAACAGGGCACTAGAGCAACATAGCATTGCCCTCAGGATCCTAGGGGTACAGCAGGGTTTCCTCTGGAGCTGTGGAGACTGACTGGAGACCCCATGCCAAGTCATCACTGTTTTTCCATCTTTCAGGTCAATCTAATATCCTGCCTCTGGATCCAAAATTCCACTTATATGGAACAAACTGCACTTGTTCTCTGCCCTTGTGAATACTTTATGTGTATCTCAATGTGTTTTTCTAGTTGTCTTTTCAACTTTTAGGAACACATTAATAGAAGTGTTGTTTAGATTGTCCCCTTGTCACTCCTTTACTATTAAAAGGCTTTGATTGAATAACATTGCAAATTCTAGGAAGATAATATGGAAGCTAATCATTTAAAGCCCTTTTAAAATTCCCCAAAGCTGAAAAGAGAAATCCATTAGCATTCTGTTTATTCTAGAGTTTATGGGCATCATCTTTATTGTTTTATAGGAACACACACTTTTTTTAATTGATCAATGTCAGACTACAAATGGTGAACAATTAATCTTAGCTGTTTTTGCTTCTGTGATTCTCTGGAAACAGAAGGTAGAAAATGTCTTATGTGCTTATTACACAAAGGCAATCTCTCAGCTCATTTCCCCAGCTGTGGAACAGATTGCAAACCTTGTTTTAAAATTACCTAATGTATATTTTAATTGATTAATTAAAAGTCTGCTAGCATTTTAAGATATGAAAACAGTTATCGTGACATTTCTGTGAACAGAATAAGTTTAGTTTCTATAATAACATCTCTGTCCTTCCCTTCTATCCTGTCAATTATATATCATTGAAAAACTACAGATGGTTTTACATGTGTGACCCTTTATAATGAACAAGCAGGACTCATGGGATATAATCAGAAAATTACTTTATCTGTTTCCTATATAGCCTCTTCAAGTTTATCATGTGGGGCTGGTTTTCCCTTGTCCTTGGATGAAACTCAGGACAGTTGTCATAACTTTTCTAGTCACTCTTAAATAATGAAACACTCCAAGTCCAAAAATCAATCACAGTTCTGTAATTAATGTGGTCCATCTAATACAGCCCTCAAACTCTTTCAACTTCCTGTAAAGTTAAGCTTTTCCCCTCCTGCAGCTATGGTCTACTGAGCACCAGCCACTTGCATTGGGAAAGGTAGATAGGGAAAGATTCTTCTCTCTTTAGCCAAATTGCTAATGCAGGTTACCCCACTTTCTGATACAAAAGCAGGGAGGAGGTAGGGGGAAGGAGAGGCAGCAGCTATGTTCTTCCATGACTAATACAGATATGACCTAATGCTGGTGATTTATGAACTTGGTGGGCATTTATATCTTACTTTTTCTCTCGAGCCAATGGTGAGATGGTGATGAGAAAAACGGGGTTGAGAGGTAAACAGCCTCCACTCCAGCCTCATCACTGGGATCTTTCACCTACAGATCTGTTTTTCCAGATGATTACTTAAGGCTTTTCCCTTAGTTTATCCTGTTAGGGTCCAGGTGGCCCTTTATACATGACCTGAGATGACCCCTGACTAGCTCACTCTCCAGTGGTCTATGTTTGGTCCTCTGTGCCATCAAACTCAGTGTGGTCTACCTTTCATTCTCTGTGCTATCAAACTCCACACAATGCAGCTATATCTCTTTTGATCCACCATCAGAGGACCTAGCCAGCCAGTCTCTTGTCCTTTAGATTTGTCAAGCATGAATCCCTGATCTACTGTGCCTCTGAGTCTGTATGGTATACACATTAAACACTCCAAATGATCTGCAGAAAGCCCTTCCTCCAGACTTGAGATAAAGGGTCAAATACCTCACACACTTCTCTCACGGTGGCCAGAGGGGGCACTGAAACTTACCACTCTCTAAATATTGTCCTCTAATCCTTATTTTCTTGATCTCCCCAGACTGCTTCGTCGTCCAGAGGTGGCAGATGAGCGGACTGCGAACAATGCTGAACTGGTTCTCCTCCACCTCTTTTCCAGTCTGCACTGTGGACGTACACCTGACTTTGGGGTGTGGTCTCTACTGTCTGCAGCCACAGCTAAAAGTGAAAACTAAGAAGGTTCCATTTTACCATCGTTACATGTGCGCTCATATTTCTATCAATTGGTTCATTTTTATTTTTTTCCGGTAGAAAATACACAGGTTCAGTAGATTCACAAATTCCTGCCAGCACACTTTGAATTCCCAAGGGTTACATAACTACAGAAACTACGATTTCAAGTCCAGCCTTGAGGGATGAAATGACAATGGCTGAGGTGAGGTGTGGGGATGAGGTGGAGGCCTAGTTAGAAGCACACAGGAACAAGAGTCAAAGATACAGGTGGAGTTCCCAACCGATAAATCCTCCTGCACACTGAACAGAGTCCCTGAGTGTTTCTTCTCCCTGCCCTTCTCCTCTGTGACAGCACCATGGAGCACAGTCACCCTGGGGGTTATCTTCCATTCCTCCCCCTCTCTCACCTGCCATATCCAATCAGTCACCAAGTCCTATTAATGCTATTTATAAAATATCCTTCCTATCTAGGCCCTCCCCATCTCCTCTGCCACTGCTTTCATTTAGGTCCTCATTAACTCGTACCCATGTTTTTAAGATAGGAGATTGGCACATACTTGCTAATGGAAAAGAGTCTGTAGAGAACAATAGATTGAAAAAATTTGAGAGAAGACCTCTGGTGAAGCCAGACCCTTAAAGGAAAAGGAGGGATGGAACCTTAAACCTAGGAAAAAAGATAAATCTTGGACAGGAACATCTTCACTATCTAAGATACTGACTTACTCATAAAGCTAAATTGATTCAGCTTTTTTTTTTTTTTTTTTTTTTTTGGTGGCACCTCCCCCTAGCGGGAACCGAAACTGGGACTCTCTGGTCCACAGGCTGATGCTCAACCTCCAAGCCAAACTGGCCAGGGCTTGATTCAGCTTTTTAATGTTGATATTTTCTTCCTTTTCTGGAACAAGAATAGATAGTATTATTTTTAATATCCTTACTTGAAAAAGATTTTAACTTGGCAAATTTTCAGTCCCTACATTAAAAAAAAAATTTGTTATGTCTTCAAGTCCAAATCCAATTCTGCAATCTTGAGTATCTGTCTAGCTATGGACTTATCTCTCTCCTTTCCTATCTTGCCTGTATCCTAAGGGATAAACTTTTTATTGGCTGTTTATACTTTCCTGTCTTCCTGACTCTCATTAATCATTCCACTGCAGTCTTCCTTCCAGCTGCATAGTTCTTCTGAAACTGCCTGTGGCGAAGGTCACACTCATCTAATTGCCAAAACCAATGGCCACTTCGTTGTTCTCATGGCACTAATGAGAGTTCCTTCCATCTTAAATTTCTAAGCTCCCTTTGATTGCCCTATGTCACTCTCTCCTGATCTTTGTCCTTCACTCTGGCCATTGCTTCTCAGTCTGGCTTTTCCTCCATGTCCTCAGTTTAATTGTTGAAAGCCTTGCTCCACACTCTCCAAGGGCCATCCCATCCACACCTTCTACCACCATCTGTGTTCTGATAACCCCTCTATAATTATCTCATGAAATCTGTATCACTCTATGAGGTAAATATTACCTTTTCTAGGGGAAGAAAATAAGGCTAAGAAAACTAAAGTAACCTGCAAAGTTTCCAACATTAGTGGTAAATAGAATGCATGTAACCCACAACCTTTTGAATCTGAAGGCCATGGCCCTTTGACTCTAAGCAATAGTGTTAAGGATTAAAAAAAAAGGTAATATATAAAATGTTTAAAAACTGAGCTAGCCCAGCTGGTGTGGCTCAGTAGTTTATGGGCATAAATCTTAAATACAATGTTAAAAATAATTCTTTAGCCTGGCTGGTGTGGCCCAGTGGATTGAGCATCATCCCATGCACCAAGAGATCACCAGTTCAATTCCTGGCCAGGGCACATGTCCAGATTGTGGGCTCAGTTCCTGGTAGGGGGTGTGCAGGAGGCAGCCGACTGATGTTTTTACCTCTCCCTCTCCCTTCCTCTCTCTCTAAAAAAAAATCAATGAAAAAGTATATTTTTTTAAGGTAATTCTTTTTTTTTTTTTTTTATCCTCCCCGAGGCCATTTTTGCATTTATATTCAGATAGAGCAAGAGGGAGAAAGGGAGGGAGAGAGAGAGAGAAACATCAATGTGAGAGAGACATATTGAGTGGTTGCCACCCACACGACCCCAACCGGGGCCAGGGACAAACTGCAGCCGAGATAAATGCCCTTAATGGGAACCGAACCTGAGTCTCTCTGGTCTGAGGGCCGAAGCTCTAATCCCCGAGTCAAACTGGCCAGGGCTAAAAAAAAAGTAATTTTTTAAACAGAAAATAAATTATTTCAGCATTTATCAATAATAATTTTATTTTAATAATCATAGATTATATCAACAAAAAGCTGGGAAACAGAGGAGCTAAAGAAAGAACAGTAGTAAAAAGTTCTCATCTTACAGAAAGAAAGATAATAAACACCATTTCTTCCCTTGATTAGGGAAAACAAGCATAGCTAGATAGATACACATACACATACACACACACACACACACACCGACAACCTTAAAGGCAGTAACAGTTGGATTTTTTAAAATATAATCCACACCTTTCAATCTATCAGAAGAAAAGTGAGCAAATAAAATATAGTCCAGACAGCTAGTAACAATTTTGAATAGCATAGGCAGGTCTTATGACATTGTTATATTTTTTTAATGTAAAGAAAAACAATGCACAGAAAAAAATCTTAATTCTGTAACAATATTCATATGCATAAATGCCCACATGCATAGTTAAAAAATTTGAAAAAGTTATGCCAAAATGTCAGATGTGGTTGGGTGATAGGATTAGAGGTGATTCTGATATTTTTCTTTACACTCCTCTGTATTTTCCAAAACCAAAATGTAAAATTAGTCAATTGTCACACATGCTCTTTAATCTTTTTTTTTTTTTTTTTTACTAAAATATTTTTTCTTTATCTATTTGAGAGAGAGATAGAAACATCGTTGAGAAACTACATCAATTGGCTGCCTCCCGCATGCCCTCCACTGGGGATCAGGCCTACAACCTGGGCATGTGCACTGACTGGAAATTGAACCAGCGACCTCTTGGTGCATGGGTTGATGCTCAACCACTGAGCCACACTAGCTGGGCTCTTTAGTCTTTTTCATAAACCTACTTATAAACTTAAATATATTCATATGCACATTTATATACAGTACTCCAATTCTTACCTCTTTCTGCTCACATGGTTTCTCAGAAAACATTTAAATAGTAATAATGTACTAAAGTATACTAATGGAGGGTATGATTTTAAAAATTAAAAAATCTAGCTTAATTAATTTTATGGGAAAGAAGTATTAAGTTACAATAACTTACTTGAAATCCTTTTCCATTTAAAAATTTTTTTCAATTACAATTCACATTCAATATTATTTTGTATTAGTTTCAAGTGTACAGCATAATGGTGAGACAGTCGTACACTTTACAAAGTGGCCCGCTGATATTTCCAGTACCCAAGTGGCACCATACCTAGTTATTACAATATTATCGACTGTATTTCCTATGCTGTACTTTAGACTCATGACTATTTTGTAATTTCTCAATCCCTTCACCTTTTTTACCCAGTCCCTCCAAATCCTCTCCCCTCTAGCAACCATTAGTCTGTTTTCTGTATCTATGACTCCTGTTTCTGTTCAGTTTTTTCTTTTATAATTTGGAATTTCATGAGGTACTTCTACCCTCTCCAGGAGGGGGCAGAAGTGAGGAATGGGGCAAACACTGCCTGAATTGCTCACAGCAACATTCCCAAACTGCAGACTAGAAAACTGGGATTTGCCAAGGGTTGGCCAAAGGACAATAGTTCTATGTACTAGGTCTGGCAGTGGAGTCTTTCAAAGAGTTTGCAAAGATTTTCTATGAACCAACTCATTCAGAGAATAACCTCTGCCTTTGGGGAAATGGAAGGAACTGCAATGGAAGGATGGCGATGAAAGAGGGAGAAAGCCCTCTCCAAGTACAAAGACTCTCTCGGGGTAGAAGCTTCAAGATTAAACTTGAAGGAAACTCTTCCCCTTTTGATGTAAGGCTTAATATTAATCAAAAGCCAAAAGAAACTGATTAAAATATGTAAATTCATGAAACTAAAAGTAAAACATTTACTGCTAGTTATATTTGTATCAGATTCAGTAATGTTCTTTATTTATTTTTTTTTTTTAAATATTTTGTGTTGCCCTGGCCGGTTTGGCTCAGCGGTTGGAGCGTCGGCCTGCGATACAGAGAGACCCGGGTTCGGTTCCCGCTAAGGGCACATACCTCCGTTGCAGTTTGTCCCTGGCCCTGGTTGGTCGTGCGGGTGGCAGCCACTCGATGTGTCCCTTCACATCGATGTTTCTCTCTCTCTCTCTCTTCGTCTCTCTCCCTCCCGCTCTAGCTGAACAAAAAATGGAAAAATGTTCTCGGGTGAGGATAAAAAATAAATAAATAAATAAATAAATAAATAAATAAATAAATAAATAAATATTTTGTGTTGATTTTTTATTTTATTTTATTTTATTTAGAGAAAGAGGAAAGGAGGGAGAGAGAGAAACAAGGAACAGCGAACCAGCAACCTCCTGGTGCATGGGACAACACCCAACCAACTGAGCCACACCTGCCAGGGACAGTAAGTAATATTCTTTATAGGGCAATGGCTCTCTACCCTATCAAACTAATGCTCATTTTTTAATGATATTTTGTAAGTTACCCCTTTACTATCTTGAAGTGAAATTCATAGAAATTATAGCCCAATTACATACATACTTTCTAAACCAAACAAATATAATGTCCTAACTGTAATATAAAGGAGACATAAAAGAAAGTAAATTTAATAAAGTAATACACATTTTAACTTACACCTGCTCCGGTAGGATGACACTGTACAACAATTTCTAAAAAGCCTTGAAGGAATTGGTACCATACATTGGAGAATCGCTTATAGAGAACAATGGATAGTGTGTCAGATTATTCATATTATAGATATCTTATGAACCACCAAAATTTCATGGCATTATAAGGAAGATA